AGTTTAAGAGCTGCGTCAGATCTGCGAAGCCGGATCGGCGCGGCCCCCGCGTCCGAATGCACCCCTCGACTCGGGAGCCCACCGCCGCTCGGAGGAAGGTGCGTCACCACGGCCCGAAGGAGCTGCGTTCGCGCGTAGACGATCGATGGAGGTTCCCGAGCGCAGAATATCGACAGATGTCAACACAATGGAGAGCATCGTCGATGCAAGCCCTGATCAGGGCGTCCGACCTTGCCGACGAAATCTGGCACCTTTGGTTGGAATCCGAGGGAAAAGAAGAGGTTGCCCCAGGCGGTTCAGCCGCTGTGGGATGCAAGGATGAACCATCTGCACACCTTGGATCACTTAGGTTCATAGTCGACACGGGCTGTGGACACACTCTTACCGCAGAGAAATCCATTCATGCCGGGGGCACCGGCAGTGATCTCAGTTGGAGAGCGGTGCACGGATCACGGCTTCAGCTTCGTTTGGCCAGCAGGCCAGCGACCCTACTTATTTCTTCCCAACGGTCACAGAATGGACCTGATCGCTGAGGGCAAGATTCCGTACTTGACCCTATTTGGCAGAGAGGCGCTGGGTCAGTGGATGCGTGCAGCTGCTGCCGGGAAGCCTGCAACTCCCGAGCGGCGGTGTTGCGTGACGTCAGGCGCCAAGACATTTCTGGATGATGTGGAATCTGCGGTAGGCCCTCCGCTCCAATCAATTCAGAGCCGCGTAACCATAGGCTTGCTCACACAAGAGATGATTGGCAACCATGGCTATGCGGACGGCAGACCGGCCGCGCCCGTGAATCCATTCCAGTCCGACGTGGGCTCCATGGATATCATCGCCTATTTTTTTTATTATTCGCTTCATAATGCTCGTGAGTGCGGTTGGGCTCGGACACCTACCGGCGTCGTGGGCTTGGTAAGTCCCTCACCCTTTCACAACCGCGACTCGGTCGTTGGTTGTGCTACATCACACCGCGGCCTAGCCGGAGACTGTGCGGCCGTGCATATGAGCCCTTACCTCTGCGGGGTCGCAGGATTTTTGCTTTGTGACACGGATCAAGGGCTTGACTCCGACGCGACTGATGCAGCACCGGGCCAGGGGGTGGATGGAGATGGGGGCTCGGGCGGCGTTGACCTAGTTGACATCGACGCGCCGCCCGATTCCGACCCAGACGACGTCCGATTCCGACCCGGACCCGGTCTCAGCGACCGAGCGATTCAAAAAGAGCGCGACCTCTCTCACGCACTTGTTAACTCACACCCCGAAGAACCTTTTCCTGCTCGGTGTGCAACTGGGAGAATGCCTTGCGACGCCAACAAAGAAAGCGCGCACTAAAGAGCTAAAGGTACCTCGACCATACGCGAATCCCGCCACGTTCGGGCACTTGACCACTATGGATCACTGGCTTGCGATGGATGACCTATCGCGGGGGCTCCGCGATGAGACCGCCCGCGTCACTTTTCGCGACCGGGCTGCAGATTTCCTCGCGGCAGGGCGCGCATGATAAACCAGCGGTTCACGTGTGTAACTTTTTGATCAACTTTAAAGCTCCGGGAGAGAAATGATAATACTACTTTTCTGACGGTGCGGGGGAGGTCGCACGGGCGCGCTTAGAATTAATAAAGATCGCGCATGGACTCATTATCCCTGGGAACAAGAATCCCATGGCTGTCGCTGAACGGCCCAATGGAATCGTTCAGATGGGGGCCCGAGCCCTCTTGATGCAGGCCAGCCTCCCTCCGCCATTTCGAGCATATGATGTCCGGTATTTTGGCCTTCGTTATAATGCTAGGATCCCTGAAGAGGGTGAGTCGTCCTGGAAGCGCAGATTCGGGCACGACTTTGCTGCTCCGCTGCTCCCCTTTGGACCCCTCGCACGCGTCGTGCCCCCTCCGGAATCTCGACTTCGGACCGCCATGACCTGGTCTCTGCGGGGGGCGCGGTTTTGGGCCCTAGAGCTATGCGTCGCCACTTAGACAACTGGACGGACTCAACATGGAGTCGGGGCGAACGCCAGCAGGCAAGCGCCCAATCATTGAGAAGTCTGATCAGGTCTACAGTAATATTTTGGACCGCGCCGCGGCTGACCAGGAGCCCGAATTCCATATGAGAGATGCATGCGAAAAAGCCCAGACCGAGGTCAAACGCGTTATAATACCTCCAGGTGGCTCCTCTGCCAGCTCAGCTGGACAGGGGCCCGACTGGGCTCATAGACGGCTCCGCCGCCTAGTGACAGAGACCCTGGCGATTCAATTCCACCGCCCCCTCCAGGGGGCGGTGCCATACCACTTTCAGATCCAGAGGACAAGTCCAATGATGACGGTCCGGGGGGGATTGTTGTGGACGACGTGCCTGCGGCAGCGGATGGTCGGGGCCGCCGGCGAGATTCGAGACCTGATCTTGACTCACAGCAGAAGCTTGGCCTCGCGCATGTTGAGCACCGTTTGGATAGTTTATCCAACTTCTCCGCGGCTCAGCCGAGGTCGAGAGTGCCGGGGCCAGGTCGCCTCTTCGCTCGGAGCAGCAGAATCTTGATACCATAGAATACTACGAAGATCGACGTGTCGTGGCCAGGTTCACTAGGGATGAGCTAACAGAGCGACTGCCGCTGAAAGGAAGACGGAGCACGTGTAGCATTCGAATCGTGTTGTACTACGATCCAGACGATGTACCCGTTACACGAGTATGGGTCGCATATCCTAATCCATGTTACGGTGCTCAATGGTTAAAGAAATTGCCAGGCTCCACCAACCCCGGGGTCCATCCGAGTCGATGGTCAAGATGAGTCATGCTGAACGCAGGAAGGCCGTATTACAATTCAAACTGGAAAAGCGTGGTTTCTTCGGCATTGACGACCCAGGACCCTGTCTTACGCTCTTGAGAGATGTAGGACTCGACCCAGTCGAGCTCCAAGAAGAGCCGGACTAACCCGTTCCGCCTAGACCCCCTGACACTGGTTCCAAGCCCGAGACCGAAGTCCGGCAGCAAAAACGGGCGAATGCAAAAGTACCAGAGGAAACTGAAATCAATTGGTGGCCGCTGCTACATCCGGCTGGACCAGTGGAGGAGTCGTCTACAGATGCAGGCTCAGGGAGCGATGCAGGCACTTCAGATGACGAAGAACTGTGGTGGAAACAAACCTGGTATGGCGGGACCATCCTGCGGGATTCGGTACCTCCCGACTCTGGCCCCATGTGCATGCCCTTCGTGGCCCCGCTGTCGCCATTTGTGTCCCCCTCACTGTCCTACGTGGCCCAGTTGCTACCCTCAGTGGCCCCATAGTTGCCTTCTGTGGCCCCGCATTATCTGCACTTCGTGGCCCCCGCTCGTTCGCGCTTTTCGTGGCCCCATACGCATTCCCTTCGTGTCCCCGCTGTCGCCCTTCGTGGCCTACTTCGTGCCCTTCGTGGCCCTGCTGTCGTTCTCTCTCGCTCTCGCTTTCGCTCGTCGTCGCCGTCGTCGTCGCCGTCGTCTTCGACGTCGTCGTCGTCGTCGTCGTGGTCGGTCCCCTGTCCGTCCCTCTTGGGGTCGGGTCGACGGTCCGCGGCCGCCCCGCCGATCAGCGCTGCCGCTGGCCAGGCCGACGGTCCGCGGCCGCCCCGCCGCTTGCCGGGGCCCGGCCTGCAGGGAAGAAAGGTATACCCCCCAAGGGTTCGATCGAAGACGAAGAGGGCGGGTATCGAGGGTTTGGGCAATACGCGTTATTGGACATTCGAGCATATAAGGGCGAACAGTCTTAAGTTTATTGTTGTTGTTGGTATTGTTGTTGCTGTTGCTGTTGCTGTTGCTGTTGCTGTTGCTGTTGCTGTTGCTGTTGTTGTTGTTGTGGTTGTGGTTGTGGTTGTTGTTGTTGTTGTTGTTGTTGTTGTTGTTGTTGTTGTTGTTGTTGTTGTTGTTGTTGTTGTTGTTGTTGTTGTTTCTTCAACTCTAGAGAACTTGTATTGTTGATCCCCGGATACGGTTCCGGGCTCTCTCGCCGCGACGCTGGCTACATTTTCTCTGAAAGCGAGGCTCCCGCTCGAACGTTGGCTTTAGTGTAAGAATGGGCCGTTGGAGGCCCAGCTGCGACGACAACTGTAACCGCTCGATATTTCCTGACAATTTGCCTGGATACACACTGGCCGGAGAGGCCCCCGAACTCAGGAACGGCGCTCTCGCCCGAGAATTCTTCGCAATTCAGTTAAGTTGGCGGGGGCCCAGCCACGACGACAAGGGCTCCTGTTCGATACTTCCTTACGGTTTACTCCGAGAGCCTCGGCCAGGAAAGCCCCCGAACTCAGGAACGGCGCTCTCGCTCGAGACTTTCTCATGATTCAGTCAAACTGGTGGAGACCAAAATTCGACGACAAGGGTCCCCGTTCGATACTTCCTCAAGGTGTATTCGCAGAGGCCCTTGCCAGAGAGGCCCCCGAACTCAAGAGTGGCGCTCTCGTCCCTGATTTTCTCGTAATTCAAGCAAGTTGGTGGAGGCCCAGACACGGCGACAAAGGTTCCCATTCGATATTTCTCAATCTGTATTCCGAGAGCCCCTGGCCTGGCCTGAGAGACCCCCGAATTCAGGATCGGCGATCTCGCTCGAGAGTTCCTCGCACTGCAGTCAGTGGCCGACAAGGAAGAGATTCCCCCCCGAAAGGGGGTGCGGTCGAAGACGAAATCGGCGGGTATCGAGGGATGGGGTATACAGAATGCAAAACACGCGTGCCAGTAAGAGCGAACAGTCTTAAATTGATTGTTGTTGCTGTTGTCACGACGAGGTCCCCCAAAGGAACGACCCTTTTCCCAGTGCCAACTGTTCATCCCGAGTCGGTTTTCAGGGTCCTGGGGCCCAGCGAGAGCCCCAAGGTGCAGAAATTATGAAACAATGCAGTCTTGTTTTGTCCAATGCGTCGACGACAATGTCCGTCCTGATTTTGTTGGGAACGTTGGAATTCAGGTGATGATGCGGGTGGGGGTCCTTTCGCTGTCGCAGCGTCTGCGAGCGTTGCCCCCCCCCCCCCCCCTCTCGCCAGGTGGCCACGATCGACAGCGACGCCCAGGCAATCAAAAAGGTGTGCTTCCCGCTCCTCCACCTCCGACTGGCCTCCCTCTCTTCATCCTCTTTCTCCTCCTCACTTCTTTGTTCAATGTCCTTCTCCTCAGCTGCGTGTGCCTAAGTTGAGGATGAGCCCGCTGAGAGGGCGGTTTTCGACCGTCGGGCCCTAGTGGGCTCGGCGCTCACCCGTCAGAAATGGCACGGCCCGTCCTTCGTGGACAGCTGAACCGAACCTTTTGCTCATCATCATCATCATCATCATCATCATCATCATCATCATCATCATCATCAGCATCATCAGCATCAGCATCAGCATCAGCATCAGCATCATCATCAGCATCATCATCATTTTCTCTTCATCATTCTCTTCTCCCTCCCCCCTCTCTTCCATCCCCCTCCCCCTCGAAACCAAAACATAGTATTGCATAACCACAAACTTCGCGAACTCCGCGCGGATTTCTCGGATCTGCGATGGGGCACCCTTGGCGGCGGCTCCGGCGCCACCCTTGGCGCGCTCCTCGCGTCAGGGAGGGGGTCCAGCGCCGATCCGAAACATCCGCTCGGAGCTCCGAAACTTTGTGTTTACATAGTTGCTTACTCGTTCTACTACCACTTCCCCTCCTCATGTTGTCTGTCCCTCCCTTCCCATCTCGCTTTGCTCCAGAGTTCGATCCTGATCCAGGTCATGGGCGAGGCTTCGATTCCGACCACGACTGCTATCTCCCTTCTGCGCTTCCCTGCTTGTTCCCTGATCGGGGCTTGTTCGAGGGATTTCGTTGTGATTCGGTGCAAAAGCGCTTCGCACGCGGGCGTCGCGGAGTAGTCGCAGGGAGCTGCCAGCAACCTAACGTATTAGGCCGTAGGTTTTACAGTGAACGTCAGACCACATCCACGGGGAAGTATCCGCGCCAAAGCAGTGCGACACAAAATTGCATAGCCAAAGCCACTGAAGCAGACCCGCAGACGGGTAGCGGAACCGTTCAAGCATTTGTGTACAGCCATGTGGCCATACCAACAGAAGTGTTGGCCGAGAAGGAACCCTGCCCACAGTAGCCGCAAAAGCGTTGTGGTTTTCATGATGCATTCGTCCAACACGTACAGCCTAAATACAGAAGATGGTGAACGGAATTTTGAGATAAGTGCGTATGGGGGTGGCTCTGGTGGAGGGAAAGGGTCATTCCAATCAATACCCGACAGGTGTCGACTGGAACTCGCCCGCGCTCCCGACAGGGGCCCCGATTTCCTTGACCCCGTGCGCGGCGCGACGGGGGCCACATATCCAGCCCGCCAACACGCAACGCAAAGCAATGCATCAGCGCAAAGCAGTCCAACACAGAGCAACGCGCTTCTGTTCAAAATGCTGCTATGCAACTCCAGGCAAACGCATTCATACATGGGCCAAGGAAAATGCAGAGCTCAGAACGCAAAGCAAGTCCCAGCACAATAATGCATTGCACGGCATAACAAATCAGCACATTCCAATGCAACACGAATCAACTGAACTCAAAAACAGCACTGCAACATGTGACAGTTCGCCCCATGTCTGCGAAGTTGTGGTGCGCCTGTTTCGAAACTTCACATTTACCTGGGAGGACTTACAATGGCGGGGTCGCGCCAGGGTCAACCCTCCCTCTCCTAGTCCCCTCCCCTCCCAGTTTCATTGACTCCCCCACCCCGTTATGTTCCCCTCCGTTCCCTTACCCTTTTCAAGTTCTCCCCTCCTCTCCTCCCATCTTCCTGCTGCGGTCCCGCTCGTTGGCTCCTTGCCCCAAGTCTGGGGATCCTCCTCCTCCTTCTCCCCTTTTCTCGCCGTGTCCTCCCTTCGCCGGGATCCCATGTCCTTACCTCCGCCACCCCTCCCCCCTCCTCCTCCACCAGCACTGGCGTGTTGCCAGCGATTCCCCTGTCGCTCAGCATTTAACTTAATTCATCCCTCCATCAACCTTGATCCCCTCCCCCTTGCCCCTCCGACGGCCCTCGAGCAAACAGCCCTCCGCCCCATCCCCTCCGCCGCTCCTCCACCTCCTCCCTCCGCTCCGCCCTACCCCGTGGCTGGCTCCTGGAACACGCTGCCCGGTCCACCTCCCCTCCCATCCCCTCGCCCACTTCCCACTCCCCCCCCCTCCCAGACCCCCTGCGTCCCCTCCTGGACAGGGAGCTCTCTCCCCCCCGCCTTCCCCCCCTACACCATCCCACCCCACTGGAGCCCCCTCCCCTTCGCCTGCTCCTCCCCCCCTCGCCTCTCCCCATCTCCGCCAGTTTCCCTCCCTCCCCCCGCTGTCTCGATTTCCTCTCGCCCCACCTCTCTTCAACTATCCTCCTGCTGCCGATCCTTCTCTTGCTTTCCCGACAGGTTGACCCGGTACTCTCCCGAGGCTCGTTCTGGCTAAGATTCTTGGGTGGATCAGGCCGTGGCGACGGGGGCGCTTCCCCCAGGAGGTCCCGAATTCATAAGATCGCACCAAACCCTTGATTCTCGGTCCCTCCTCCTGCTCCTCCTCCTCCTCCTCCTCGCTGGCCCCTGAGATCCTGGCGCTGCAATTTTTTCACAACGGGCGTTTGCGCTCGGTTTCGGGCCCAGGGACCCTCGCAGATCGATCCGGGCCGAAAAATTGTGCAGCATGATGGGGTCAGGTGCTCCGGTCGAACTTTTTCGCGATGTTTGTTGCCCGCATCTCAAGTGGGTTCCTGTTTCCCGCTCACCCCCTCTCTTCCTCACACACTCACACACCATCATCATCGTCATCATCATCAGCACACACACTCATTCATATAATCATCCGCACACTCTCCCTCTCACACTCATTCACATCATCATCATCATCATCATCATCATCATCATCATCATCATCATCATCATCATCATCATCATCATCATCATCATCATCATCATCATCATCATCATCATCATCATCATATTCGCACACCTCCTTATCAGCGTCACTATCACAACGCACCATCACAATCACTATCGCCACACAATCATCACTATCACCATCCCATCGTGATCGTCGACCCAGAGGGAGCCTCGTCTGTGAGTGGATTGCAATGAAGTGTGAGGCGGGAGCCCCTTTTTTCTGGGTCCCGCACATCTTGTTGGTAATCCGAACGGGCCATCGGAAAGTTGTAACTGTCGTCGATGTTCGGTTCCTCTGGATTGAATAATTATGAAGGAAGTCTCCTGCGGGAGCTCCGTCTGTGAGTGAATTGCGAGGAAGTGTCAGGCGGGAGCCCCCTCCCCATGGGGCCCATGGGTCCCGCATTTCATATTGGTAATCCGAGCGGGTCATCGGGAACTTGTAACCGTCGTCATTGTTCGGCCCCTCTGAATTGAATTTGGAGGAAGTCTCCGGCGAGCTTCGTTTGTGAGTGATATGCAAAGAAGTGTCAGGCGGGAGCCCCCTCCCTATGGGTCCCGCATTCCATGTTTTTCATTTGAGCGGGTCATCATAACCTTGTAACTGTCGTCACGTTTCGGCTCTTCTGGAGTGAATGTGGAGGAAGTCTCCAGCGGGAGCTTGGTCTGTGAGTGAATTGCGAAGAAGTGTCAGGCGGGAGCCCACTCCCCATGGTGTCCGCACTTCAGGTTCGTTACTCCGAGCGGGTCATCGTAACCTGGTAACTATCGTCACTTGTTTCTCTGGAGTGTTTTTGGAGAAATTCTCAGGCGGGAGCTTCGTCTGTGAATGAATTGCGAAGAAGTGTCAGGCGTGAGCCCCCTCCCTATGGGTCCCGCATTCCATGTTTTTCATTCGAGCGGGTCATCATAACCTTGTAACCGTCGTCGCGTTTCGGCTCTTCTGGAGTGAATGTCGAGGAAGTCTCCAGCGGGAGCTCCGTCTGTGAGTGAATTGCGAGAAAGTGTCAGGCAGAAGCCCCCTCCCACTGGAGCCCCCTCCCCTTCGCCTGCTCCTCCCCCCCTCGCCTCTCCCCATCTCCGCCAGTTTCCCTCCCTCCCCCCGCTGTCTCGATTTCCTCTCGCCCCACCTCTCTTCAACTATCCTCCTGCTGCCGATCCTCCTCTTGCTTTCCCGACAGGTTGACCCGGTACTCTCCCGAGGCTCGTTCTGGCTAAGATTCTTGGGTGGATCAGGCCGTGGCGACGGGGGCGCTTCCCCCAGGAGGTCCCGAATTCATAAGATCGCACCAAATCCTTGATTCTCGGTCCCTCCTCCTGCTCCTCCTCCTCCTCCTCCTCCTCCTCCTCGCTGGCCCCTGAGATCCTGGCGCTGCAATTTTTTCACAACGGGCGTTTGCGCTCGGTTTCGGGCCCAGGGACCCTCGCAGATCGATCCGGGCCGAAAAATGGTGCAGCATGATGGGGTCAGGTGCTCCGGTCGAACTTTTTCGCGATGTTTGTTGCCCGCATCTCAAGTGGGTTCCTGTTTCCCGCTCACCCCCTCGCTTCCTCACACACTCACACACCATCATCATCGTCATCATCATCAGCACACACACTCATTCATATAACCATCCGCACACTCTCCCTCTCACACTCGTTCACCATCACCAACGTCATCATCATCATCATCATCATCATCATCATCATCATCATCATCATCATCATCATCATATTCGCACACCTCCTCATCAGCGTCACTATCACAACGCACCATCACAATCACTATCGTCACACAATCATCACTATCACCATCCCATCGTGATCGTCGACCCAGAGGGAGCCTCGTCTGTGAGTGGATTACAATGAAGTGTGAGGCGGGAGCCCCTTTTTTCTGGGTCCCGCACATCTTGTTGGTAATCCGAACGGGCCATCGGAAAGTTGTAACTGTCGTCGATGTTCGGTTCCTCTGGATTGAATAATTATGAAGGAAGTCTCCTGCGGGAGCTCCGTCTGTGAGTAAATTGCGAGGAAGTGTCAGGCGGGAGCCCCCTCCCCATGGGGCCCATGGGTCCCGCATTTCATATTGGTAATCCGAGCGGGTCATCGGGAACGTGTAACCGTCGTCATTGTTCGGCCCTTCTGAATTGAATTTGGAGGAAGTCTCCGGCGAGCTTCGTTTGTGAGTGATATGCGAAGAAGTGTCAGGCGGGAGCCCCCTCCCTATGGGTCCCGCATTCCATGTTTTTCATTCGAGCGGGTCATCATAACCTTGTAACTGTCGTCACGTTTCGGCTCTTCTGGAGTGAATGTGGAGGAAGTCTCCAGCGGGAGCTTCGTCTGTGAATGAATTGCGAAAAAGTGTCAGGCGGGAGCCCACTCCCCATGGTGTCCGCACTTCAGGTTCCTTAATCCGAGCGGGTCATCGTAACCTGGTAACTATCGTCACTTGTTTCTCTGGAGTGTTTTTGGAGGAATTCTCAGGCGGTAGCTTCGTCTGTGAATGCATTGCGAAGAAGTGTCAGGCGGGAGCCCCCTCCCTATGGGTCCCGCATTCCATGTTTTTCATTCGAGCGGGTCATCATAACCTTGTAACTGTCGTCGCGTTTCGGCTCTTCTGGAGTGAATGTGGAGGAAGTCTCCAGCGGGAGCTCCGTCTGTGAGTGAATTGCGAGAAAGTGTCAGGCAGAAGCCCCCTCCTCATGGTGTCCGCATTTCAGGTTTTTAATCCGAGCGGGTCACTTTTCGGCTCTTCTGGATTGAATTTGGAGGGAGTCTCAGGCGGGAGCTTCGTCTGTGAGTAACTTGCGAAGACGTGCAAAGCGGGAACCCCTTCTCTATTGGGTCCCGCATTTCATGTTTTTAATCCGAGCGGGTCATCGTAACCTTGTAGTTGTCTTCACTTCTCAGCCCCTCCAGACTGAATGTGGAGGAAGTCTCTGGCGAAAGCTTCGTTTGTGAGTGAATTGCGAGGAAGTGTCAGGAGGGAGCCCCCTCCCCATGGGGTCCGTGCTTCATGTTGGTAATCCGAGCGGGTCATCGTAACCTTGTAACCGTCGTCACTTTTTGGCTCCTTTGGATTGAATATGGAGGAAGTCTCAGGGGGGAGCTTCGTCTGTGAGTGAATTGCTAGGAAGTCTCAGGCAGGAGTCCCCTCTTGATGGACCCGAGCGGGTCACTGGAAACTTGTAACCATCGTCACGTTTCGGCTTTTCTGGGGTGGGTATGGAGGAAGTCTCAGGCGGGAGCTTCGTGTGTGAGTAAATTGCGAGGACGTGCAAAGCGGGAGCCCCTTCCTTATTGGGTCCCGCATGTAATCCGAGCGGGTCATCGTAACTTCGTAATTGTCGTCACGTTTCGGCCCCTTCGGATTGAATGTGGAGGAAGTCTCACGCAGGGGCTTCCTCTATGAGTGGGTAGCGAGGAAGTGTCAGGCGGGAGACCCCTCCCTATGGGGCCCGCACTTCATGTTGGTAGTCCGAGCGGGTCATCGGCAAACTCCGCCAGGCATAGCGCTCGAGCACCCAACTGGGCACATCACGAGACGTTCCTCACGCGTCTATGAGCGATTTGCAAGAAAGTCTCAGGCGGGAGCCCCCCTCCTTATTGGGCCCCCATTTCACATCATCAGCAGATAGCGCCAGAGGGCAGAAGAAACCAGCAGAGACCCGCAGAGAGCAGCAGAAACCAGCTGAGGACGTGCATGATGAGAACAGGCAGGATGGAGATGAGGGGGGGAGAAGGAGGTGGAGGGAGGAGAAAGAGGAGGAGGAGAAAAGGACTAAGAGGAAGAGGAGATATGAACAAGGAGGGCGAGCATGAGGAGGAGACGGAGTACGAGGAAAACAAGGAGGCTGAGGAGGAGGCGCAATCGATGGCGAGACGGGGGGCTTCGTCCAAGGCGAAGAGGGAAGAGCGAAGGGCATTCTAAATATGTTAATGCGGGGTCCTACCGTCGGAGTATTTTTTGCAGTGTCGGATCTCAGGAGCGGCGCGCAGAATGGGGGTGTGGCGAGGGGGGCCGGCCTAAGACGGCACGGAAGCTTCTTGGAAGGGGTCGAAGGCTTCTGGGAAGGCTTCTTCGGTGCCGGGAGGGCTTCCAAGAGGCCCCTTTGCTTTCTTAGAAGGCAACTTTGCAAATTTGCTCAAATCCAGCCCTTCGACCCATCCCCGCACTTCCTGGGGTCCACCCTGGCCAGTTCGGGAGCCGAGTCCAGTCGCGGAGAACTTCCAGCACGCCCCCTCCAAACAAAAATCTGACCGTCGACGACTTCGTCGTCGACGTCGTCGCCAGCCGATCCTCTTGCCTGCCCCCTCCTGGAAGAACGATTTTGACTACGTCTATGTGCCGCCAATGTGTCCTGGTAAGTTTTAATGCCGCCCCAGATCCCAATCCCCACACGTCCCCTGAGGCTTCAGGAGGGACCCGGAAGCCCAGAAAGGGCGACACAGCAGCACACCAGGCACTTCCTCAAAAGTTGCCACCCTTTTCCTCGAAGGCACACCTTCGCAATCGGTCCTCATTCTCCCCCTCGTCCCGCCAGGACGTTGCCAGAGGCCCCAGGAGGATCATCCCGTCGGCAAAAGGCACCGGGCAAATCGGGTGCGAAGGCTTGAACCTCCCTCCAACCTCGCGGGTCGAGGGCACAACTTCGCAATCGGTCCTCCTGCCTGCCTTCCTGCCCGCGCCGCTCGGAGGAATCCGACCTACGAACGGGGGGCTCTAAGAGCATCTGCCTTGGGCCCTGGCGCCCAGCGTGCTGCTCGATGCATGGTCGCTCCCAGCGCCGGGAGGCGCCGAGCAGACCAGCTCCATGCAGCTCATTCGCCAGCCTCCCCTATATCGTCTTCGTCTCGGAATGAAAGCCGTCGCCACCCGCGTTCCTCCTTCTCCTCCTCCTCCTCCTCCTCCTCCTGCACCTCCCTCCTCCTCCTCCTCCTCCTCCTCCTCCGCCTTCTCCTCCCTCATCCTCCTCAGCGCGGCTGCTGGAGAGCATCGTTGCTTAGTCAGTTGTCCGCGTCTGTGGCAACTCTTCCATTCCGATGCGCAACTATACGTCCGATTGTTATTTGGTATGTGACAACGTTTCCCTGCGTTGATTCGTCAATTTGTCTTGGTCTGCGGCTGTAGGCCTTTCAGATGGGTTCCAAGTAGAGGGTTGGAGGATCGCGCCGTATCGCCGATGCATCGGCCATGCAGCTCGATATGAGCCCGACTTTCTCCACGCCGACGGCGCCGATGCATCGCCGATGCATCTTCGATGCATCGGCGATGCGGCGTGATCCTCCGCCCCGTCTTCTCGGACCCCATCTTGTAGGCCTCTACTGGCAGCGCTTCCTTTTAGATGCACAAGTCCACGTTTCCCGGGGGCCTCGGCCCTACCCTGCAGCACCGATTCGATTCGACTTTGGATTCCTACTTTGGTTTGGATTTCTTCGTGCATGCCCCAGCTTGGGCCAGCAGGCGTCGATTTCGATGCTTTCCGATATGCCCGCCGATTCTTGCCGATGCGATGTGTTTCAATGGCCGATTCGATTTTCCGATTCGATTTTTGGACATCTTGCCCATTCGTTAGGGGTTCGATCATGGACCCCTTGAACGAAAGAGTCCATTCAGCTTTCGCGCCGACGACCGCTAGAAACCGCTCAAGACCGCCGGAACCGCCGAAGACCGCCAGAGAACCTCCGAAGACCACCCAAGACGGCCGAAGACCGTCCGGAGACCGCCGAAGACGGCCCAGCAGGGGCGATGGGTATCAAGGGGTCCATAATTAGTCGAGCACATTCCGACGCCAGAGAAGGAGCTCGACTACATCAAGCGCGAGGACGTCCTGGACGAAGCTGGCAGGCAGAGGCCCGTCCTCATCCAGTCCGCCGAGTCGGAGCGCCCCTGGGCGCGCGCTATCTGGTCCTCCCCCCTGCTCTGGAGACATTGCCGGGTCGTACGGGAGGAGGCTCCCTCCTCCCTCCCCGCTCCCCCCCCGCCTTCCTCCACAATTGCACACACCTTGAGTCTCCTCTCTCCCCTGGTGACGTCCGGGAAATGACCGGCCCCCCTCCGCGCACTGGTTTGTTACACACAGGATTTCCCGGAAACGGGTTCTCGCTAGGTTTTTTTTCAAAATGCTGCTCTCGCTGAGGAGCTGGCTTCATTTTTGGGCCACCGCTCGTTCCGAATCGTGCTCCCGCTTCAGCGCTGGCCTCATTTCCGCGCTTGTGCTCGTTCCGAATCGTGCTCCCGGTGCAGCGCTGGCGTCATTATTCCCAGCGCCATGCCACGGCATGGTTTTCGCTACTTCCAAATCTGGGAAATGACACCCCCGAGAAACCATTGGAAGTGATTCCACATTCTGTGTCGATTCGTTGAATCTTTGGGTCGCAGAAGCCCCCCCCACTTTGAGGCGTCGCCACGCCATGATTGTCAGGCTCCGCATCATCCGAATCGTGCTCCCGCTGCAGCGTTGGTCTCATTTCCGCGCTTTCGCTTGTTGTGAATCGTGCTCCCGCTGCAGCACTGGCGTTATTATTTCCAGTGCCATGCCACGGCATGGTTTCGCTCCTTCCAAATAGGCCCCACAAACTAGAAAATGGCCTCACGAAGAAACCATCGGAAGTGATTGCACATTCGGTATCGATTCGTTGATGTTTTGGGCAGCAGAAGCCCCCCCGCACACTTTTGGGCGTCGCCACGCCATACTGTGTCATGCTACGCGTCGGTATTCAACACCATTATATGCCATGTAATGCTCTGCCATGCTTCGACATCCGAATGGCGAATAGAGAGAGATCTACGCCATCGTAAGGGATGGGAGGGGGGGCAGAACGTCAGATGTGACGCGAGCGCACCTAGCTTGCCCTTCCCCCCCTCCCCTTCTACAATTTCACTTTGGATACTATTCTCCCCTCTTCCCTAATGACGTTCGGAAGATGTCCGGCCACCCTCCGCGTATTGTTTTGTATACAGGATTCCGGGGAGTTTGGTTGTCGCTTGGTTTTTGTTTCGAAATGTTCCTCCCGCCGAAGCGCTGGCCCCATTTCTGCGCCTCTGGTTGTTCCAAATCGTGTTCCTGCTGCACCGCGGGCGTTTTCGGCCCTTCCAAACAGGCCCCCCAATTTAGAAAATGCCCCCCCCCCCCCCCCTCCCCCCCGGAAAAATACATTGGAAGTGATTACGGTGTCGACTCGCTGATGACGGGAAACGCTTTGTCGGAACGAGAGGGTGATGGGAACTTGTTCGGTCATACTTTCTGTTTATTAGTGAAGAACTAAGGCGCGAGGGTCAAGTTGGTCGAGGATTGCATCTGGGTTTTTGCTTGGCGGATGATGGGGAACGTCTTCAAAAGGCCCTGGCTCGAGCGAATCCTGGCGTTTCTCGTGTGTCGGTGGGGTCGCAACCCCCCACACAACATGCATGCAGTTGATGGCGGGACACGATTTGTTTATCTTTCTTCCTTCCGCCATCGCTAGCCGAAGTTTCCCACGCTAGAGGGCCGAGCGCTCGGTGACGGCACGATCACCGTGGAACTAAATGTCAGCGACCGACGCCGAGGATAGGAGCGAGCCAGTGCACAGCACAAGGAGCGATCACCGCGCCTGCCGAGCCAGACTCGCCAGAGGGCGGGTGTGGTCCAGGGCAGTCCTGTATGAAGACCAGGATGCAGTGGTTAAGCTATGCCGACTGGCGGCGCACAACGGCGCGGTGCTCCCACCCCCACTCCTCCCCCCGATCCACGGTATCCCGAGACGAGGATATGGCATGATGTGGTCTGGTCGCCTGGACGTGGTTCTCCGACATGTGACGGCTGCTCGAGTCGACGCCCCCGCTCTGCAGGGCACCATGCTCCCCATTGAGCACCAGTGGGAGAGCCCCGGCTACATTATCACGCCTTCGCCGCGCTCGGTTCGCCGCCTGAAGGATGGTGTAGCCACTGCGGTATCAATGCGGATATCTTCACGGGACGAGATCACAGTTACTCACAGATGGCAGTTGGGCCAACCAATGGGCATTCGGGTACAACGCACGCCACACATTGACTTCTACGTCTTTTGTGGCTACGGTCCCGCCGACAAGCTCCAGGCGCGGCCCATCGCGACGGCTGTCCACGCAGCGCGCCGTTGCGACAAGGATGGGTACTCCGATAATGTGCGCCGAGCCGTGGGCTGCACCCCCTCTCGATGTGCAGTTCTATTGGCCCTGGGTGGCGATGGCAGTATGGCACCATCACTACCTAAAGTGAGATACGCTAGCTCACGGAGCAAGTACCGGCCACAGTAGGCCGACAATGAACGACACTTGCATGACATTCTCACCCAGTACGGTGCGGGAGCTTCCACCACCCTTGGACCAGCAGCAGGACGTAGCGCTCCATGGCGGAAAACCGATGGCCAGGGTGTGACACGGATCGACCCCATCGCCACCGTGCGCAACGCGGGCTCACAGGCTTTCGCACTGAACTACCTACAGGCATGGCGGCGCTGGTCAACTGCTGAGGCGGTGGCCCCAGGCAGTGGCGGCCCCGTGACCGCCGCCATCTGCGACGCCCTACGTGGCCTGGAAAGAGTGCACCACGCCATCGCCTCCTTGGATCAGGATATTGCGCAGACCTGCCCTACTGACTACTACGACGTCCTGGAGCTGGTAGTGGCCTCCGCAGCGCGCGACTCCCTCGCGCCTAGGGCGGAGCGCCAGTTCTTTGCCTTCTCTGCTGACGCGGTCCGCAAGACCAAACAGAAGCAGGAGGCCATCTGGTGGGCCTCCTGGCTCGCCGACCAACGCGCCCCTCCCGGCGCCCAGCGCAGAGAGGGCGCTGCCGAAGGAGATGGTCAAATTCGTTTCCCAACGCGAGGATAGCCACCGCGCCGCCCACCGCGGCGCGTGGTCCTGGAGCTCGAAAGCAAGGCCAAGATGGCGCCGAGCACGGACCGCGCGACGGCGCCCGAATTGCGACTCCAAGGGCGTGACCGCCAAGGCGGCGGCCGCGGAGGCCAACGAAGTGCACCAGGGGCACCCGCAGGGCGTGCACCCGAACGCCCCGCTCAGCGCGGTTCGGCACCACCTGCAGTTGACACTTCGAGGGCGCGGAGCTGCCCTGAAGGAGGACAAGACCGAGAGCGACCAGCAGGTCCTGATGGCCTCGAAGGCGGTGCTCGGTACTGGTGAGAAGGCCCTTCTGAAGCACCCGTTCCAGGCGTCGCGCTGCTCCGCGGTAGCGCGCCAGGACAGCGAGAAGGAGGGCAAGGGCCGCTGGGTCGTAGCGGCCGACCGCCACCGTGAGCTGATCGAGTCCACCCGCGCCCTCTGCCTGGCTTCGTAGTGGCAGAAATCCGCGGGCATCCAGACCGACGGCGATCATGTCCCTCGCCTCAAGCCGCCAAAAAGGTTGAGGCAAAGTACAGAATAAGTAAATCTATAACGGATGATGGGTATACTCCCTCGGCGAGTCCCCTTGATTCGTTTCGCGTGCCAGTCTGCCTTTCGCGCCTGCAGCTGCCCTGCTGTGCGTGATGTTTCTTGGCTGGTCGGGACCACTGCGTTCTGTTAAGTGCCGGCAGTCCGTCGCCACCAGCCGCGCGACCAGAGGGTCGTTGACTGTCAGGCGGCGTGTCCATCAGTGGATGGACGCCTCGTGTGATGTGTCTGAGTACGCGCGCGTGCGCAGGTCTCCCTTCGGTAGGCCGCGTGGGACCTCGTGGGACCTCTTGATTTGGGGGTGCGGTAGTTCTTTCTTCATAACAAAATATCCCAGTGCGACCCGACCTAGAAGTTGGAGCCCCCAGGAAAGCAGCACTAGTTGCTATGCTATGCTATGCTATGCCATGCCATGCTGCGCTATGCTCTGCTATGCTATGGTATGATGCGCTATGCTATGCTATGCCATGATATGCTATGATAAGATATGGTATGCTATGTCAGGCTGCGCTGTGCTATGCTAGGCGGTGCTATGCTATGATATGCAGTGGTAAGCTGCGCTATGTTATGCTATGATATGCTCTGCTATGCCTTGCTATGCTGCGCTATGCTATGCTATGCTATGCTATGCTTGGCTATGCTATGATATGCGACGCGATGCTATGATATGATATGGTATGCTGTGTCGCTGTACGTTTCCCTTGCTTTGCTGTTGCTTTTTCGTTGCTTTGCTTTGCGTTGCTTGTGCTTTGATTTGATGTCGCTGCTGTTGCTTTGCCTTTGCTGTGCTGCTATGCTGTGCTGTGCTGTGCTGTGCTATGCTGCGCTGTGCTATACTGTGCTGTGCTGCGCTCTGCTCTGCTCTGCTCTGCTTTGCTATGCTGCGCTATGCTATGCTATGCTGGGCTATGCTGTGATATGTTGTGTTGCGCTATGCTATGCTACGCGATGCCCTGCTTTGCTGTGCTCTGATATGCCAAAGCTCAGCGAAGCTAAGATGCAGGCCGGCTAAGCTAAGACAAACCTGAGCTAAGATGAAGCTACGCTACGCTAAGATGAAATGAGCTATGCTAAGATGAGAGAAGCCACGCTAAGCTAAGGGGACGTAGCTGGGGGGACCGCGGGGCGGATGCCGGGGGAACCGCCCGGGGCGCATTCCACTGCCCGGCCCTTCAAGCCGAATAGTAAGAACCTTTCCAGGCAGAGCCTAGGTAGGGAACAACATCTTCGAGGTGCCCGTAGCGAGCTGGGCGTCATGGCCGAATCTGCATCATATCTAGTACAGTTCTTACTGATATAGGGTGGCGGGTCGCATTTTTTTTCCTGTTAGCGGAAGGCTGGAAGCGTCTTTGCGGTACAAGAAGCGGCTTGACGTTGTGGCTTCACCTGCGCCATTTCCTATTTTCTCTTAGGCATAGAGGGTGGCGGGTCGCATTTGATGGCGGGAAGCGTCTTTAAGGTACTCGAAGCGAG